CCTGGTTCAAGCATGCCATAAGCTAGAGAACATTTCCAAAGCTGCTGCTTCTATATGGGAAAAAGACCACATCCCTAAAGCAGCTACTCAGCTGGTTTTGGTAGATCCCACTATGGAACTGATTGCCAGTCTCATCATGGGGAATACTACATCCAGCTGCCCAGCCACTCGACGAGGTCCAGCCAAGTTGACACACAAACTTAACTGCCACAATATATAATATAATATAATATAATATAATATAATATAATATAATATAAATAATCTCTAGGTTTTCAGGTCTTATGTAATTCCTCTCATTAAAAATTTTATAGTATTGAGCATAGAGATCTTGCGCATCCATTGTCATATTTATTGCTAAATTCCTAATCACTGGGTTACCCAGGTATTTGTTTTTAATACTTCAATCAGCTGTTCTTTGAAGTTGTAGACATTGCTAAATGTATGGCATGTTTTACGTTAATAAAGATTTAAAAAGATACATTTACATTAAGTGAAAAAATACCAAATTTATAAGATTAAATATTATTATGTGCTGATGGGTGCTCTGGTGGCATAGTGCCTAAGGCATTTGACTGCTTACCAGAAGGCTGGTGGTTCAAACCCACCAGCCACTCCTTGGAAGGAAAATTGGGCAATCTACTTTCCAACTCAGAAACCCAAGGAGGGGTCATTATGAGTAGAAATCAAGTCGACAGCAGTGAGTTTGGAGTTTGGTTTATATGTGTTGATATTTTTGCAAAGATATTAGACAACAAACTTTCATTGGAACATAGTCATATTCATTCATTTATGTATTGTTTATGGCTGCTTTCACGTGCAATGGCAGAGTTGACTCTGCAACAGAGACCACAAAGCCTATTACATTTACCATTTATCTGACTCTTTGCAGAAAAAGTTAGGTAACCCTCGCTTTAGACCATCATACTGATCACATGTTTATTCTCTTTTACCCCACTGATGTAGTGTTAGAATGCTTTCAGGAGCAGTAACAGAAATTCTGGTGCAAACTTGCTTAAAAAATGAGAACATTCATTATTACATGTAGGCAAGCTCCAGGCAAGAATGGTGTGATCATTCTTCATGTCTTATTCTCTTGTATCCTATATTGGTTTTCTATGCCCTTAAGTAGTCTCCCTGCATAGATATAGATTCCTTTAAACTAGATTTTCTCAGTCTCTGAAATGAATAAAACTTTTCTAAAAATACAAGGGGGGTTATTTACAGAGATTGGTTTGTGATGATTTTCTATTTTATCCTTTAGCAGATATAGTTTAAGAACAGGCTAATCTGATCTCCAATCACATGATCAGGTGGGTGGATGTTATTGGAATCATATGCAATGGTCATGTCCCAGGCATCAATAACACCCACATTGAGATCTTTGAAAATGTCCTTCATGGTAAGATAGTGAATGTAGCCATGGAAGTCTCCAAACCTTTCAGTGTCTGCATGCATGTCTCTGGTGTTTTCTGTCTTAAGGATCACTTTACAGGCTGGGCTTCTTAGAAACAGTAGTTCAATAGCCTTTCGGACACTGATGGCCCGGCGGATGAAGATGTCAATGGGGAAGGGTCTGAAGTGCTGGCCAAGGGTGATGACGATGACTGTGTTTTTGTCCCCTGGTATCTGGTCAATTTCCCTGGGGATATATCCCTCATCTATCACAGAGTAGAGCTGCAGAGTAACAAAAGGATAGCTATGTTTTTTCCACTGAATCTGAATGTGGTTTTCTGCGTCCAGAAGCAAATGTTTCTTAAACACTCCAGTTCCATGAAGATCAAAAAATTTTAATGCTGATGAAAAAATAAACAGATATTTTAAGTATAAGGCAATAATAATCATAATAATAATAATATTTTTTAAAAAACTATGATCTATCATTTAAAACCTCACCTACCTAGATTATTTCTGACTAGAAAATTTCTGCCCTTTCTCCAGTTCATGTGTGTTCAATGTCAACAAAAATTGTAGTTTTCATTGGAATTTATAAGGAAAAACATTCCTTATGAGAGGGAATAAATAGGTATTTTAAATGAAAAGTCTTAGATCCAGGAAATTAAATGAAGTAAAAAAATAAACAGCCAAAAAAGACAGATCTTATTACGAACAAAATTAGCCTGAATTTCTAAAATTTATAAAATAGCTACATACTTTTTACAACTTTGGGTAAGTAGTAGATCCACTGCCGCAGTGTAGAATCTCCCAGGAGGTAAATGAGTTTTCCTTTCAAACAGTCCTTTATCTTCACTGTATTTAAGTGAGTCTGGTTGCAAAATGTTGTAATCCACTTTCTTTCCAAAGTGTAACCACCAGGAACTGGAATCTTCATTCCAATCTCACATTTTTCTTTTATATTTTCACTCTCTAATGACACAAATAATTATGGTGATTTTATTGACATAAATTACTCAAAAACATTCAACCTTCTTTCTTTGTCCTTCCTTTTCATCATCTCTTCCTTTCTTCCCTCTAACCTCCTATTTCCTACATCTTTCCCTTCCTAATATGATTCTTGGATCACCATCTTTGTCTTAGGCACTTCTACATAAGCTTTTGAGAAGTTCTGAGTTATCTTGACTCATCTCTGTTCCTTTTCTCCTACATCCAGTTATTGGCTAAGTCTTGATGCTCCATCATTTCTTTGCCATTCCTACTGATCCTGTGGTAATTTAGGCTGTAGTGTCTAGCCTGAATGATATTAATGGTCTTTACATCAAATCCTTTACCTTTGTTCTTTTAGTGAAGGAGTAACCTTAATCTTTCCATTTTAATAGCTTAAAAATATAATAATATGTATACATTTTTAAAACTTCAAGTGGTATAAAATACTATGCTTTAATTAATATTATTTTAATAGGATTTTGCTAAAAGTGACATGAAGCAGGCAACCCAAAACAATAATTTGAGATTTTCCAGAAACTTCCACTAGAATTACAGGCTCTTGTTGGCATATGGTCTAACTTCTAAGATATTGTAAGTAGCAGTATGGCAAATGTTTTGTCATGGCATAACAAAGATGATCAGATTTCTCACCTGTCATAAGTGTTTCCTTCACACTATGCCACCACCCCACCATTGAGCCAGCACTTTATGTTTTAGATTCTGTTACATCAGCACTCCTATACAGATACCACCTTCTGTATTAGACAGGAAACAAATTTGAATGCTGTAAGAAAGCTGAAAATAACAATGGCTTAAAACAATTTACACATTTATTTCTCCCTTGCATAGTAGTTCTAGAATGAGCAAGCCAGGGCTATTATTATGTTGCATGGTATCAAGGACTACAGTTCTACTCTGTCCTGTAGGGTTGTTATGGGTTGTAATTGACTTGATGGCAGTGGGGTTGGTATTACTAAGAGGAGAGGATGGAATGGATATTGAAGGGCACTGGCAATCTTGGCTTCATCATGGTTAGCCCCTCATAGACCATGAAGGCTTTGATTGCCTATGTCCATAGAATAGTTATTATTATATAGTTTCACTGTGTTTGCACAGGTGTGATGTTGTTGTTAGGTGCTGTTGAGTTGGCTCTGACTCATAGCAACCCTATATACAAAGAACGACTAATCCTGTGCCAGCCTCACAATCCTTCCTATACTTGAGCCCATTGTTGCAGCCACTGTGTCAATCCATCTAGTTGAGGGTCTTTGCCTTTTTTGCTGACCCTCCACCTTACCAGGCTGACCCTCCACCTTACCATCCTTCTCCAGGGAATGGTCCCTTCTGACAACATGATCATAGTAGGTGAGACGAAGTCTGGTCATTCTTGCTTCCAAGGAGCATCTGGCTGCACTTCTTCCAGGATTGATGTGTTCACTGTTCTGGCAGTCAGTCCATGGTACTTTCAGTATTCTTCACCAGTACTACAACTTAAAGCATCAACTCTTCTTCAGTCCTACTTATTCATTGTTCAGCTTTCACGTGCATATGAGACTACTGAAAATACCATGGCTTGGGTTAGGTGCACCTTAGTCTTCAAAGAGACATCTTTGGTCTTCAGCATTTTAAAGAGGTCTTTTCAGCAGATTTTCCTAGTTCAACATGTCATCTGATTTCTTGACTGCTGCTTCCATTGGTGTTGATTGTGGAACCAAGTAATATGAAATCTTTTTTTTAATGCATTTTATTGAAATATAATTTATGTACAGTGAAATACACAAAAATAAAATGACATGGGTCAATGCATTTTTTTTTTTAAGTGTTCCCTCTCCTCCCCTCCCACCCCTGGCAACCAACAAAGAAAATTTCCCTCTGTATATAAACCTTTCCTTGACCCTTCACAACAACGAACTAATAGTGTATTTGTCCTTCAGTGATTGACTTATTTCACTCAGCATAATGTCCTGCAAGTTCATCCATATTATGCAGTGTTTTGCAGACTCTACATTATTCTTTAGTGCTGCATAGCATTCCAGTATGTGTATGTACCATAGTTTGGTCATCCACTTTTCCGCTGATGGGCACATAGGTTGTTTCCATCTTTTTGCTACTGTAAATAGTGCTGTGATGAACATGAGCGTACATGTATCTGTTCGTATCCTGGCTCTCACCTCTCTAGGATATATACCTAGTAATGGGATTGCTGGGTCACATGGTATCTCCAATTCCAACTTTCTAAGGAATTGCCATATTGCTTCCCACAGTGATTGTGTCACTTCACAGTCACACAAGCAGTGTATGAGAGTCCCAATTTCTCCACATCCCCACAAACATTTGTTAATTTCTGCCTCATTGAACCTTACCATCAGTGCTGGGGTGAGATGGTATATATATCTCATTGTTGTTTTGATTTACGTCTTTCTGATGGCCAATGATTGTGAGCCTCTTTTCATGTATTAGCTGACCACCTGAATATCCTCCTTGGTGAAGTGTCTATTCATGTCTTCTGCCCATTTTTCAATTGGATT